TGAAGGGGAAAGACCCAGCCTCGTAGGTCAGTGGACGTGGGGCTGGAGTGGAGGAATTTACCCCGTAACACAACAAGCTGTAGGGTTTCTGGATGGGCAGAGTATTTTTAAACAGCTCACCACCACAACAAAAGTTGCCAATGCCGGCCTTTCTAAATCCCAAAGAATTCTGGGAAGGTGCTGGCTAAGGTGGATTGTGACCCTGCAGCGGTGGTGGTATTTACCACTGGCCACCATTAATTGGTCTGTGCCAAGCCGGCAGTGTGTACTTCCAAAACATTGTTTTATTTCGTTCTCACGACAACCCAACTATCTTATGGATGGAGGAACAAAGACTCCAGTGCTTCTGACCTTGACCACCGGACAATGCTCCCTCCTAACGAGAATAAAGATACTACTTTCCCCAAATACTCTACTCCCTAAAATATATTTTTATGAAAGATTCTACTTTAAATAAATACAGGAAGCTGTACTTTTCATTAGGACTTGAAAGGTTCCCCCCTGAGTAAAATAAAATCTGGCCTACCAGGTGGTTTAAGACTCAGCTTCTAAGTGGGCGAATACGTCCATTTAGTACAAATGTGTACGAGGAAGGGTCTCCTTGGTCACTCACATGAAGGCATGAGAATCAAAACTGATTCTTTAAGGGACTAGTGAAAGCAGCCATGAACCTTGACCTCCCCTTCAGGGCATGGAGGTCCTAGCAGCTTGTCCCGTACAGCAAACTGGTCCTGTCACCTCTCCCTGGACCCCCACTTGAGAAGTCCTGACAGGTAGTAAGCTTTTGGAGAGTTTGGCTAATGGCAAGAAAGTGGCAAAGCAGACATGTTCCTCCTTAGTGTTCGTGCCCCGTCCTTTCCAGGGAAATTTGCTGGGGAAGCCCCCTTCCATATCAGAAGTAAAGAGGACAGTTCTCCATGTGACCCCTCCCCTCTCAACACAGAGTAGTGCAACAGAATGAGTGGGTAAACACTGACCAGGTCATAAGGCTAATTTTAGGAGGTTTTAGGTTATTTGCCAATTAGGTCCTTTGATTCATTTGCCCCCGTGTGCGTAAAGCAACATATTTCTGCATCATTTAAGAGAAAAGAGAATTAGTATGAGCTACCAACAGCTGGCTGACAACCTTGAGCCCTGGGTGTGTTGGCACTGATCCAGATTTCACATGAGGAGTTCATTTTTGGTCAGTCAAAAAAGGGAAGGGGTTGGCCCAGATCCTGTTTCACACGTTCAGGAGCAAGGATTCGCCGTTCCCTTCAGAAATTGCTGGAGGGTGGCTCTGCAGGTGCACTTGTCTCTCCACCTGATACAAAAAGGACCGTTCAGCTGTCTGGGTTCTTCCTCCGACAAGTCTGTGCTTCAGTGCAGCAATTACACCAAGCAAAGGTTAATTCCCCTTTTTCTTCAAATCCCCTTTTATAAAGATGTATTATGTCTGCAGATTCCAGATTTTTTCTTAAGCTTCTTTTTCTTCCTCATGAATCCTACTCACCCTCACTTCGAGGTTAGTTTTTAGACTGAGGCTGAGTTTACTAGCACCATAAAGACCTTCGTATTTGTTGGAGAATGAAATCCTCTTAGTTTCCTAATCTGTGAGTCACCATTTCAGAATAATAAAAATTTCATGTTTCAAAATGGTCCTAGCCTTTCTTATTTTCAATGTAACAAGTCATCAATGCAAAAGAAAATTAATTGGGATTAAAAAAAATCCTCCCAAATCCCACCACTAGAGAAGACTAACCACCATTAACATTTTAATGTCTATGATTTTCATTATTTTTTCCCCACAAATTACAAGCTATTTAATAATTTGATTTTTTTTTTTACATTTTGGATGTTAGATGAAAATAGAATAGATAAATGTCACTGTTTGTAAGAGGGGCAGAATACTGCAAAATATTAACATGCTTTAATCTACCTATAACAATGGATATTTTGCTACTACACATACTGCTGCAATGAACTTGGACACACATTCCTTGCTCACTAGTCTATTCCTTGTGACAATTCCTATAAACAAACTTTGCTAGGTCAGATCATATACATTTTTTTCAAGGCCTCTGATACATATGCCAAATCGTGTCTCCCCCCTCAGAAAACTTGGCCTCATTTTCAACCTCACTGACTTCCTTAGAGTGCATTAAAAAAATTTTTTTCAACGTTTATTTATTTTTGAGACAGAGACAGAACATGAACGGGGGAGGGTCAGAGAGAGAGGGAGACACAGAATCTGAAACAGGCTCCAGGCTTTGAGTTGTCCGCACAGAGCCCGATGCAGGGCTCGAACTCAGGTGCCCCTAGGGTGCATTTTTAAAATCCAACTCTCACAAATACTAAGTAAAATAGGTCTTTTTAAAATTTTTGCTCATTTGAGAGAGGAAAAAAATGGTACCTCCATGCTTTTTTTAAAAAAAAATTAATTCTAGTATAATTAATATACAGTGTTACGTTAGTTTCAGGTGAACAATACAGCAATTGAACACTTGTATACGTTACTCAGTACTCATCATGCCAACTGTGCTTTTAATCCCCTCCACCTCTTTTACCCATTCGCCCACCTGCCTCCCCTCTGGTGGCCATCAGTTTCTTCTCCATAGTTAAGAGTGTTTTTTGGTTTGTGTCTTTTTTGTTTGTTTTGTATCTTAAATTCCATGAGTGAAATCATGCGTTATTTGTCTTTCTCTGACTTATTTCACTTGGCGTTATACTCTCTAGGTCCACCTATGTTGTTGCATATGGCGAGATTTCATTTTTTATGACTGAGTAACATTCTATTATATATATACCACATCTTATTTGTCAGTTCTATGGATGGATGGACACTCAGTCTCCTTCCATAATTTGGCTGTTGTAAACAATGCTGCAATAAACATAAGAGTGCATGTATCTTCTCGAACTAGTGTTTTTGTATTCTTTGGGTAAAGAGTAGTGGCATTACTGGATCATATGGTCATTCTATTTTTAATTTTGGGGGGAAGCTTCATACGGTTTTCCAATGTGGCTGCACCACTTTGCATTCCTGCCAACAACGCAAGAGGGTTCCTCTTTCTATATATCCATACCAATATCTGTTGTTTCTTGTGTTGCTGATTTTAACCACTCTGACTGCTATGAGGTGATATCTCACTGTGGTTTTGATCCGCATCTCCCTGATTAGTGATACCGTGCATCTTTTCATGTGTCTGTTGGCCATCTGTATGTCTTCTTTGGAGAAATGTCTGTTCACGTCTTCTGCCCATTTTTAAATTGTGTGTGTGTGAAGTTGTATAAATTCTTTATATATTTTTGATACTAACCCTTTATCTGATATGTCATTTACAGATACCTTCTTCCATTCAGCAGGGTGTCTTTTAGTTTTGTTTATTAGTTCCTTTTCAGTGCAGAAACTTTTTATCTTGATGCAGTCCCAATAGTTTATTTTTGCTTTTGTTTGCATTGCCTCAGGAGACATATGCAGGAAAATGTTGCTATGGCCAGTGTCAAAGAGGTTACTGTCTGTGCTTTCTTCTAGGGTTTTTATCAGGATTTTTCACGTCTCACAATTAGGTGTTTAATCCATTGCAAGTTTATGTTTGTGTATGGTGTAAGTGGTCCAGTTTCATTTTTTTGCATGTAGCTATCCAGTTTTCCCAGCTCCATTTGGGAAAGAGATGGTCTTTTTCCCACTTCTCATTCATGTCTCCTTTATCAAAGATCATTGACCATAATATCATGGTTTTATTTCCAGATTCTCTATTCTGCTCCATTGATCTATGGGTCTATTTTTAGCTAGTATCATAGTATTTTTGATTACTACAGTTCTGTAGTATATCTTGAGATCGGGGATTGTGATACCTCCAGTTTTGTTCCTTTTTTCCAAGATTGCTTTGGCTATTTGGGGTCTTTTGTGGTTCCACACGAATTTTAGGATTATTTGTTCTAATTTTGTGAAAAATGCTGTTGGTGTGTTGATAGGGACTGTATTAAGTCTGTACATTGCTTTGGGTTGTGTGGACATTTTAACAATATTTGTTCTCCCAGTCCACGAGCATGGACTTTCTTTCCACTTGTTTTGGTCATCTTCAGTTTCTGTCATCAATGTTTTTATAGTTCTCAGAGTACAGGTCTTTCCCTTCCTTGGTTAAGTTTATTCCTAGATACTGTTTTTGGTGCCATCGTAAATGGGACTTTTTTCTTAAATTCTCTTTCTGCTATTTCATCATTAGTGTATATAAATGCAATGGATTTCTATATATTGATTTTGTATCTTGCAACTTTATTGAATTCATTTATCAGTTTTGGAAGGGTTTTTTTTGGTGGAGTCATTAGGGTTTTCTATGTATAGTACCATATCATCTGCAAATAGTAAAGGCTTTACTTCTTCCTTACCAA